CCAGTTGCCTATAGGAATGCATTGCTGTCTGTTTTTCATCCGTTTGCCCATAGGAATGCATTGCTGTTGTTTTTCATCCTTTGCCCATAGGAATGCATTGCTGTCTGTTTTTCATCCATTTGCCCATAGGAATGCATTGCTGTCTGTTTTTCATCCGTTTGCCCATAGGAATGCATTGCTGTCTGTTTTTCATCCCTTTGCCCATAGGAATGCATTGCTGTCTGTTTTTCATCCATTTGCCCATAGGAATGCATTGCTGTTGTTTTTCATCCCTTTACCCATAGGAATGCATTGCTGTCTGTTTTTCATCCGGTTGCCCATAGGAATGCATTGCTGTCTGTTTTTCATCCCTTTACCCATAGGAATGCATTGCTGTCTGTTTTTTCATCCCTTTTGCCCATAGGAATGCATTGCTGTCTGTTTTTCATCCCTTTACCCATAGGAATGCATTGCTGTCTGTTTTTTATCCATTTGCCCATAGGAATGTTGTTTTTCTTTCAAAATTTGCGGTCTTTTTTTGTTTATAGCGCAAAAAATAAAAAACCTACAGGTGATAAAATACCACCAAAAGAAAGCAGTATTTGTGGGAAAAAAGGACATACATTTCATTTCCATACAACATTGCATGACCGCGCAATTGTCAGTTAAAGTAACACAGCGCCGTATCGCAACAAATGGCCTGGTCAGGAAGGGGGGTAAATCCTCTCTGGAGGGCAAGTGGTTAAAGAGGAAGTTGTCATGCACATCATGTACATGTTATCTGTTGTCACCATTAGGAAAAGTGCATGTCCTTGCACCCACAGGAAAAAGGAAAAGGGTGTATACTTGTATGTGGGGGGTGGTTGCACAAGTAGGGGCAACAGGAAGAAGGGTGAGCCGCACACCAGAGGATTGATGAATATCGTGTGTATTTATTGATCCATAGGACACACAAATCATCAGGACATAAATACAGGACTTGTTAACGTGTTTCACACCATTCCGTGCTTAATCATAACAAAGAAAACAACAAAAGTGCTGTCTTATGCAGGCCATAGACGGGTCGAAAACCGGCCCTTTATAAAAAAAAAAACAAAAAACAAAAAATCGGTCGTGCAATAGGCCGACGTTACCACCAACGGTAAAAAAATTGGCCGATTTTCGTCCCGTCTACGGCCGGCATTTAATTACTTCTGTCCCTGCAGAGAGCTCCGCTATTATATTTGACATGAAAAAGTATTGCAGTTGCAACAATGTATCTATTTCGGATACAGATGTTTTTATTTGGATACAAATGGATACATTGTTGCAACCGCAATACTTTTTCATGTCAAATATAATAGCGGACTGGAATTCTTCTTCTTATTTTTCTTTCTTCTCTTTTTCTTCTCCTTGCAGGTCACGACTCATGTGCAGATTTTTTACCGGTAAAACAATCGGCCGATTTGCCCATCATTGCCAGGAAAATCGGCCGATCGGCAAAGTCGGACGATTTTTGTCCAACTTTACCAAAAAAAAAAATGTGCCAAAAATCCGAAAAACGGCCGACCGATTAACCCATTAATGGTGCGAAAATTGGCCATTTTTTTTTTCGGCCGATTTTCGACCTGTCTATGGCCTGCATTATATAGGAGTTAATAAAGAACACCTGTCCTAATCAGCACTCCTGAATCCTGAGGATACGCCTACTAAGTACATTGTAACAAAACATATAAAACCATTGTATCAAAAAGTGATATCAGAAAACAACAAGGAAAGAAAGAAAAGAAAAAGGAAAACGAAGTGGAATAAAAAAAAACAGAGAAAAAGAAACTATGAATAAAAATTATAAAACAATTGTAACTGAAAAGTAAAATAAAAAATGAAATAGCATACAAAAACACAGATAAAAGCCACAGTAGGGGCCCTATAGAAACAAGACACACCCCAAAAGAGCGCACACCATGCCTGTGAACCTGCACTACAATGCACATCAATGCAATTGGTAATGCATACCTGTAGGTACAAATGTGGCCTAAGGGCTCCATCCCAGCTCCTCGCACTGTTTACTTTATTTATTTTTTGGGTCCCACAAGTGACATTTTCCTATTAAAGTTCTGTTCCTACAGCAGCATTGTGATGCTTTCATTTGCGTTGTAACCTGTTGCATGGGGAAAAAAAAGGACTACATGCAATACTCTTTTTCAGAACCCACCACTGCAACACAGTGGTATGAACCAACACCATAGGGAACAAGGCTTTCTGACTTGGGCGAGAATTCACCCGTCAAGCTTGGAGAATGGGGCCGTGTGGCAGCTGCGAGTCCAACACTCGGCTAGCAGTTGTGGTGCATTAGCCCCATTATAAACTGCTGCTCAGCAAAAAATAACAGGGCTTCAGGAGGTGGCAGGGCTGCTGTTATGCAGGCCATAGATGGGTCGAAAATCGACTGATTTTCACACCGTTAATGGGTTAATTGGTCGGCCGTATTTCTGGATTTTGGTACATTTTTTTTATTGGTAAAGTTGGAAAAAAATTGGCCGATTTTGCCGATCGGCCGATTTTTGCGGCAATGATGGGCAAATCAGCCGATCTTTTTACCGATAAAAAATGAGCCGTGACCTGCAAGAAAAAGAAGAAGCGAGAAGAAAAAGGAGAAAGAAAGAGAAGAAAAAAAGAAGAAGAGGAAAAAGAAGAAAAAGATGAAAAAAAAAAGATGAAGAAGAAAAAGTAGAAAAAAGAAGAAGAAGAAGAGGAAGGAGGAAAAAGAAGTAAAAAAAGAACAAAAAGAAGAAAAGAAAGAAAAAAAGAAAAAGATGAAGAAGAAAAAAAAGAAGAATTCCAGTCCGCTATTATATTTGACATAAAAAAGTCTTGTGGTTGCAACATTGTATCTATTTGTATCCGAATAAAACCATCTGTATCCGAAATGGATACAAATAGATACAATGTTGCAACGACTATACTTTTTAATGTCAAATATATTAGCGGAGCTCTCTGCAGGGACAGAAGTAATTAAATGCCGGCCGTAGACGGGACGAAAATTGGCCGATTTTTTTTTTACCGTTGGTGGTAACGTCGGCCTATTGAACGACCGATTTTTCATTTTTTTTGTTAAAAAAACGGCCGGTTTTCAACCCATCTATGGCCTGCATTAGAGACCACGGGAACCCATACAGCCATCTTGAAAACCCCCCTCCCCCAAAAAACTGTATACTATGCTTTATTTATGAGTGAACACAGTGAATGATCTGTACTGATCACTCACTGTGTTCATTCAGGAAAGAAAGGGCCTGGTAAATGTGAAATTTTTACCAGATTGTTCCCCCACTCTCCATCCTGAAGGTTCCTATTGTGTGCTTGCAGCTGCTGTTGGGAAGAAGGAGAGGAGGGAAGCCGGCAGCACTGCGAGGGTGGGGGCCAACAGGGGGCCCTGGGCTGCAGGGGGAAACTTATGGAGCATAGGGAGGGTGATAGGTGCGGCAGGGGGAGTATTACTGAAACCGATCCCCTGTATGGCTCTCTCTGCAGCAGCTGAAAACCAGCGGAAGGGAGAGGAGGAGAAGAAGTCAGCTTTCAGCTGCTGCAGAGAGAGCCATACAGGGGATCGGTTCCAGTAATTGTCCACACAGTGCCAATCACCCTCCCTGCCCACATCCAATTCACCCAGCTGACTGGGCCCCCTTGCTGTCCTGGGCCCCGTACAGGAGGACTGGTGTTACCCTCTTATCCATGGCCCTGCTGACAGCAGCCGCACTCTGAAAAACGATCCACCACAGGTTGCTTTTAAGAACATTGGCTAGCATGAACCCAACCTAAAGGAATGGTGAAACGCCTTGAAACGCTCTGCTGTGTGATGGAATTCCTTATTTCCAGGTTTATTTATCTATTCTCAGCCTGTGTTTTCTCTGGGGCCAGCTTCCTAAGCGGGCTGGGTAATGAGTTGTGCAGAGGACACACACCTTCCAAGAAACTAATTAAATCTTTTTCTGTCATGTGGTGATCTGTCCGCCATGCCGGCGATGCGCGGGATAGTCCCTGCCCTACATAATGCGTCCCACCATGCTGCCTAGGCACAATGTCCTGTTTTCTTGCTGCGACCTTTACACGGAGAAATTAGACACACGACAAATGCTGCTCTTGTGTGGCGCAGCGTGTGATCGCTCAGGCCTGCTGCATGGACTCTATTATCAGAGGCACAGTGTGCGCAGTGTTCTGTACCTGGACTATGGCTCCCTCTCATCCGCACATCCGTACAAAACGTTGTAATCTGGTGTCAGCCTCTGCAATTCCCACACAGAATAGGCTGACTAAGGAAAGTCCCGTGGATTTTCAGCAAGCGTACATCTAAAGTGACTTGTGATACATTTTTGGTATTCCATATTTTGCTATTATATTAAATACAGAAATGTATCAAATATCCAATAGGGGAGACTCTATATTTGATCCAATCTCACTTGCCCCTTCTGCTTAAAGCAGATATTCACCCTCCATTACATATTGCCCAACGGATAAAATTCAAAACATTAACAATAACATATAAAGCCATTTATAACTCCGCCCCAAATTACATCACCGATCTTGTCTCCAAATATCACCCAAACCGTACTCTCTGCTCCTCGCACGACCTCCTACTCTCTACCTCCCTTGTCTCCTCCTCCCATGCTTTGTCTCCAGGACTTCTCCAGAGCTTCCCCCATCCTCTGGAACTCTCTACCCCAATTTATCAGACTATCGCCTACTCTGCCCACTTTTAGGTGGTCTCTGAAAACTTATCTCTTCGGGAAAGCCTATCCTGCCCTCAGCTAATAATGGAATCTTCTACTCTTCTCTTCTCCATCTACACCTCCTCCCTTGGTCACTTGATAAACTCCCATGGCTTTAAGTACCATCTCTATGCTGATGACACACAAATCTATCTTTCTACCCCTCACCTCACCCCATCAGTCTCCTCCCACATTACTAACCTACTAAGTGACATATCGGCATGGATGTCACTCCACTTCCTCAAACTCAATCTTTCCAAAACTGAGCTCTTAGTATCCCCCCAGCCTGTGCCCCCTCCCCCGACTTCTCCATCAAGATCAATAACACAACCATCAGTCCCTCCCCTCATGCCAGGGTACTAGGTGTAATCCTGGACTCCCATCTGTCCTTTCAGCCCCAAATCCAATCACTGTCCAAATCTTGTAGACTTCACCTCCGCAACATCTCCAAGATACGCCCGTTCCTAACCTCGGAAACCACTAAGCAACTTTTATTCACTCCCTTGTTATATCTCGCCTTGACTATTGTAACTCCCTCCTCATTGGCCGACCTCATCGCAGGCTATCCCCTCTTCAGTCTATCATGAATGCTGCTGCCAGACTCATCCACCTTACTAACCGTTCTGTATCTGCCACCCCTCTCTGCCAATCCCTCCACTGGCCTCCACTCAGTGTCCTCCATCCCTCTCTGCCAATCCCTCCACTGGCCTCCACTCAGTGCCCTCCATCCCTCTCTGCCAATCCCTCCACTGGCCTCCACTCAGCGTCCTCCACCCTCTCTACCTCTCCACTGGCCTCCACTCAGTGTCCTCCACCCCTCTCTGCCAATCCCTCCACTGACCTCCACTCAGAGTCCTCCACCCCTCTCTGCCAATCCCTCCACTGGCCTCCACTCAGCCTCCACTCAGTGTCCTCCACCCCTCTCTGCCAATCCCTCCACTGGCCTCCATTCAGTGTCCTCCACCCCTCTCTGCCTCCCTCCACTGACCTCCACTCAGTGTCCTCCACCCCTCTCTGCCAATCCCTCCACTGGCCTCCACTCAGTGTCCACTCACCCCTCTCTGCCAATCCCTCCACTGGCCTCCACTCAGTGTCCTCCACCCCTCTCTGCCAATCCCTCCACTGGCCTCCACTCAGTGTCCTCCACCCCTCTCTGCCAATCCCTCCACTGGCCTCCACTCAGTGTCCTCCACCCCTCTCCAATCCCTCCACTGGAGTCCTCCACCTCTCCTCTCTGCCAATCTGCCTCCACTGGCCTCCACTCAGTGTCCTCCACCCCTCTCTGCCAATCCCTCCACTGGCCTCCACTCAGTGTCTCCATCCCTCCATCCCTCTCTGCCAATCCCTCCACTGGCCTCCACTCGGTGTCCTCCACCCTCTCTGCCAATCCCTCCACTGGCTTCCCATTGCCCAATGGATAAAATTCAAAACATTAACAATAATATATAAAACCATTTATAACTCCGCCCCAAATTACATCACCAATCTTTTCTCCAAATATCACCCAAACCGTACTCTCTGCTCCTCAAACATCCTCCTTCTCTCTAGCTCCCTTACCTCCTCCTCCCATGCTAGTCTCCAGGACTTCTCCAGAGCTTCCCCCATCCTCTGGAACTCTCTACCCCAATTTATCACACTATCGCCTACTCTGCTCACTTTTAGGCGATCTCTGAAAACGTATCTCTTTAGGGAAGCCTATCCTGCCCTCAGCTAATACTGGAATCTTCTACTCTTCCTACCAGTCCATCCCCCACAGTTACTACCTTTTGTACCACTAGCCCCTCCCTCCTAGATTGTAAGCTCCAAGGAGCAGGGCCCTCCTATCCCTCTTGTATTGAACTGTATTGTTGCTGTAGTGTCTCCCGTTATATTGTAAAGCGCTGAGCAAACTGTTGGCAATATAAAAATCCTGAATAATATTAATAATAATATTGCCTTCCATCCACCCTTCCTCCCCTCCTCTGCACAAACTGGGCTTTTTTTTCCTTTGTTTACATTTTTTTTTTCAATTAACCACTTGACCTGCAGAAGATTTACCCCCCTTCCTGACCAGGCCATTTGTTGCTATACGGCGCCGCGTTACTTGAACTGACAACTGCGCGGTCATGCAACGTGGTGCATAAATTAATGTCATTTTTTATTGCGCTATAAATGAAAAACCGACTTTTTTTTTTTTTTTTTTAAAGAAAAACTATATTTTTTTACTTTCTGCTATGAAACATATCCAATAAAAAAAATGTAAAAAATCTAATTTCTTCATAAACTTTATTTTTTTTATTTTAGCTCCCCCCCCCCCCCATCTTTATTAATAACCCCCGCTTACCTTGTTCCAGAAGAATCAGCAAAAGGGACACATGATACTATTTGTAATGTATGTCCCTTGTGCTGATTTTTATTTTTTATTTTAGCTAAACTTAGACTTGAACAGCCACATGGGGATATATAATCTATCAGCCACATGGGGAGTGCATTGTTTTCAGCTGTTAAATTGGAGTTCAGCTTTATTATAATGGTTCTGTGAACAGTATATTGTAAGTATACACTATATAAGTTCAGCTCTAATTCATTACATATGCGGGCCCTTCTTCCTTCTCATTAGTGTTACTAGTGTGCAGTGACTGATGTTACTGGCTTCTCCCAAAGCAAATCCACCCTTTTGTTAAGACCCAAAAGAATTTAGTTAACACAGTAGTTGCCTAATCCTGATTATATCTCAGCAGTAACCTAGGAAACCTAGGAAAAAAAGCCAGTAGAAGTGCCTGACATTTGAATAGCAGTAAGAGTGTGAACTTACACACCTGTATATATACAGCTGACTAGCTTTCCAAATCTGTTCAAAATCTGGAATGAAGTACATGAAATGACTTGAAACTCTTCCTTAAAGCAGTGTTTCTCAAACTTTTTTCAGTCAAGGCATCCTTTAAAATTATGGACAATGTCAAGGCACCCTCTAAAATTATAGACAGTCTCGGGGCACCCTCTAAAATTATGGACAGTCTCAGGGCACCCTCTAAAATTATAGACAGTCTTGAGGCACCCTCTAAAATTATAGACAGTCTCGGGGCACCCTCTAAAATTATAGACAGTCTCGGGGCACCCTCTAAAATTATGGACATTCTTGAGGAACCCTCTAAAATTATAGACAGTCTCGGGGCACCCTCTAAAATTATAGACAGTCTTGAGGCACCCTCTAAAATTATAGACAGTTTCACTTTACAGTCTCGAGTCACCCTCTCAAATTATGAGCAGTCTTGAGGCATCCTTTAAAATTATAGACAAACTCGAGACACCCTCTCAAATTGTGGATGGCCTCAAGGCACCCTCTTAAATTGTGGACAGTCTCGAGGCACCCTCTAAACTTATGAACAGTCTTGAGGCACCCTCTAAATTTATGGACAGTCCTGAGTCATCCTCTAAATTTATGGACAGTCTTGAGGCACCCTCTCAAATTATGAACAGTCTCAAGGAACCCTCTAAAATTATGGACAGTCTTGAGGCATTCTCTCAAACTGTGGACAGTCTTGAGGCACCCTTTAAAATTATATATAGTCTCGAGGCACCCTCTCAAATTGTGGACAGCCTTTGAGGCACCCTCTCAAATTGTGGACAGTCTCGAGGCACCCTCTGGACAGTCTTGAGGCACCCTCTAAAATTATTGAGTCTTGAGGCACCCTCTAAAATTATGGACAGTCTTGAGGCACCCTCAAAAATTATGGACACCCTCTAAAACATGGAGAGTCTCGAGGCACCCCATTCTAAAATTCGAATAGTTTTATATAATGCAGAAACATCCACACATGTAGGACAGCCAATGTTAGAGGGGATTTATTCTTCCAAAGTAAATACACTTTTGCACAGTGATACTGACTAGTATTCCAGTGTTTCTCATCTCCCTCAATTTTTCTCCATCATTTCTCCAATGCAGGGGTATTGAATTAAAATTCAAGGAGGTCCAGTCACTAAAATTTTCTTCTGGCCGAGGTCTGAAAAGGGTATGCCCATCAGTGTGCCCCCTTACATTAGGTGTCGCCATTAGAGTGCAACTTTACATCATGTATTCACATCACATCAGGTGTGCCCATCAGAGTGCTCCTTTACATCAGGTATACCCATCACATTGCCAGCATACATCAGGTATTCCCGTCAGAGTGCCCCCTTACACTCACAGTACCCCTTTCTATCATATTTCCCCTTTACATCATATTCGCCATTAGACTGCCCCTTTCCATCACATGTGCTCATCATAGTGCCCCTTTCCACAGTATGTGCTCATTTATAGTGCCCTCGCTCAACATAAAATGTACCCATCAGAGAGCCGTTTTAATATTGATTGGACCCTGGGTAGCTGTTTACTTGCCGCCCCCCCCCCCCCCCCCTCCCCACATTACAATTTTGCTCTCCACCTGCTCTGAGACATACAATAAATAGCGGCCAGACTCAAAATCAGTTTACTGCAGCAGATCAGGCACAGATTGCGATTGGTTTCCAGAGGTTACAGCATATCAATACCACTCACTGATTGGTTGCTAGAAGTTACAGCACACATTATGGCTCACTAGTTGCTAAGGGTTTCAGCACATTTATGCTTGCTGATGGTTGCTACAGGTTACTGCACATCTTTACTACTCACTGATTGGTTACTACTGGTTACTGTTCATCATTACCACTTACTTATTGGTTGCTGGAGTTTAAAGTGGCACTTTCCTTATGGACTGAATGTGGCAGTCTCTGCATGGAGGGGCCCCTGGGCTGAAGGTTGCAATGTTTCTATGGAGGGGCCCCTGAACAGGAGGTAGCAGAATGTGATTACTTATAATAAAGCGGATAAAAAGTGTATATAATGTTTTTTACATCTAAACACAAATGTTTTGCCTGTTATTTCTATTTGAAACTGAAAGGGGTGTGGTGAGGGTTTACATATACTTTAGAATGGACCTATCAATAGAATAATAGTACCCCATAATATTAGCAGATAAAAGTTCCTTCTTCTTGCCTTTAATGAAAAAGGATGTTCCCAAGGTTCAACTAGCACTTACGAAAAACAGTCCTTTGTAAGATAAATCCTTGGCCATATCAAGAATCTAAAGCAGTCTTTCTCAACCTTTTCACTCCAGAAGAGCTCTTGAAATAATTTTCAAGTCTCATGAAACCCCCGGCTAAAAATGACTGTGTCTGCAAATCACAGTACATTAGCGTGATCAGGAAGTTGTAGATGTAATCATACAAACCATGATCTATATAGTGATGAAATAATATGAAACAAATAATAATGACCAGAAAAGAAAATAAAAAAAGTAATGTCCTCTTAGATTCGTGGTCAAAAGAGAAATGCTCCCTAATAATGATGGCCAGTGGAGAGGGTCCCCCCTTGCATTGGTGGACAATGGAAAATTGCCCCATACATTGATGGTCAGCCGAGAAGGGCCTTTACAGTTATGGTGAGTGGCACAAGGGAACTCTCTGATGGTCGGTTGAAGGAAGAATGTGATTAGTGGGGTTTTTTGTCCCCACCAATGAGCGTCCTCAGGAACCTGTTCCCGAAGAAGCCCAATTGGTTGGGGCAAAACACGTTGGGAGGAGCATCCGGTGACATTACTTTCTGTCCATGAAGTACATGTTGGAACAGCAATTCTGTGTCTAAATGCGAACATTGGATGTTTTTATGTAAATATAATGGTGGAACATAGTTTTTATTAATAAATGTTACTACACTATGGTAGTTTATGCCCCTTTTCTTCTTTATTGCTTGAATACTGAATTTCACAACCAAGTGGTACTGGTCTACTTCTGGAGGATCAAATAATGGCCCAGGATAGATACCAGAGGAGAGCTGGAGTAAGCAGAAGAACCCAGGAGGAGAAATATCCACAAGCCTGATAGACTCCTAAGCTAAGTAGCAAAGGGTCAAAAATCTCTGGTGAGTGTGGGAGCACTCGAGGGGGGTCATGGATTTTTCCCAAGAACCACACTGGCTGAATGTACTATTGCACCAGATTTGTGGACTTTTTTACAAATGG